TCCGATCAGAGCAAGGGCTGTGAGTGAGCTGTTTGTCATGGGGTTCCTGCCCCTTCGGGACTATTCAGGGGGAATATTGTCCATGGCGTGATACTGTGTTATAACAAGAAATATATATTTTATATATTTGGCCTTTGTTTCTGGCTCCTAGCCAGAGCTCCTAGGAGTCTTTGTAATTTCCTAAGTGACAAGAGCCCTAGGAGTTTTGTTATAATTGATTTTTGTCTTCAACTCCTGAAATAGCTTCAGAGTGAAAACGATGAAAGTAGTGTCTTTTCTGGTCATTCATGCAAACCCCTTTCAAGCACACCTGAGTTGACGTGAAGGAGGTGTCTTAGGAGCCCACCTAAGGATGAGGTACTGGTTGCTAGGGAAACTCACTCACTGTGTGATCTGGGGAGAGAGGGACTGCATCAATTAAAGCAGACTCTATCTCCGCTGGTGATTCAATTAATCATGTCTAGGAAATAAGAGTCACCGTACCCCAGGGGCTGGGGATTTAGCTCAGCGGCAAAGCGCCTGCCTGGCAAGCGCAAGGTCATGAGTTCGGTTCCTGGTACCGGAGAAAAACCAAAAAAAAAAAAAAAAGAGTCACCGTACCCCAGTTGACATTTGGAGAATTGCTTGATGTGGAAGAGACCTACACATTTGATATGTTAAATGAAAATTATAGGTAGTCACTGTTTTGTAGAAAACTCCTACGCTTAGCCCCAGCTGACCAGGTTAAAAATCAAAATGGAGTCACTCATGCCAACGTTCCACATCACTAAGCTGTTTTATTCTCTGAGAAATTAGGATTAGAGAGATAACAACCAAATTTTCCATGGAGGCTGGTAACCAACTGGCTTGAGAATGATGGCGCCTTCAGCTTTAATCTTTACACAAGAAAGATGAAGTTCCTGATGCTTCCCAACTAGTTACAATGCTTTTATATTTTTCGGTCTCCCTGTCCTTACCTTGCAAGTAATTTTGAAATGACCAATCTGCTTTTTTGCCTTTGTTTCTGCTTTCCTCAACCCTTTTCTGTCTGTAAAACCAACCTCTTCTGCTCATTGTAACTCAATTGCCTGATTCTGGAATTGAAAAGGTGATTGGTATCACCACACTAAATTGTAATTTTGTTCTTTGACAGGAGTAGTGCCAGAAGTGTGTGAGAGCCTAGAAAAAATACTTTTCTTGTGTTTTTTTCTTTTTTTTTTCCTCTTGTACATGGCTAACCAGGAGGTCTAGAGAGTGGCAGGACATGATCTGCACGAGGCAACCTCAACAATTGTACAAGAAGGAAGCAGACTGGAACGTGCTCAGGACCGGCCTGGCCCTCCAAACACTGAGCCCCAGTCACTGAGCCGCGCAGCTCTGCATGCTCAGACACCTGGGCCTCCAAGGTTCCTATGGAACAGTGTGGCTGGAGGGCATGTGGTTACCATGGATTCCAGCCAGAACCTCTGGATCAGCCTTTGACAATTACAAGCATAGAAAGAGTTGGCAGATAGGTTGTAGCAAGTGCTTATGGCACCTGCTTCTGTTCTCTAGGGCTTCAGAATGCTATAGTGCGCTTTCCCAGATTCCATATCTCTGCCTGAGAGCTTCCCTTGTGGCCCCCGAAAGGTCACTGTACTCGCAGATGGCGAAGGGCTGATGGGGCGTGGCATTAATACCGGGCTCCCTCACCTTGTGCCTCTGCATCCTATGCCTTTTCTAGAATGCCCTGGGCTTTCACCCTCCTGTCCAGGGTAGCTGCTGTCATAATACGTGCTGTGTCAATTCTCTTCTTGGCTTCCCCCTCACTGGCATTTTCTTGGTCCTCCCATCCCCTCCCCACCCAAACAGATGACTTCCACTCCAATGTTTGTCTCAAGACTCGCTTCTGGAGGAACCTAAACTAAGACATAAGTTACTCATGTTAATTAATTTCCAGGCTCCTTGGGCTGAAAGGTAATTAAATGCATGTTTGCATTTTCTTTACAAAAGCTTTTGAAAGGGGTGTGTGTGTGTGTGTGTGTGTGTGTGTGTGTGTATGTGTATGTGTGGAGCCGTTTCGCATTTATGCTTTGCTGCCAAGAAACAGACAAGAGATGCTCCGGACAGACAAATGTCAGCCCCCGAGGGCACACTGCATCTAACAAAACTATTTATTGGAGGAATTCTGGCCGTCAGTTCTGATTTCTGTTGATGATCAGAGGAATTCACTCATTCTGCAAATATTTTCTGAGCTCTGCCTCTCTGCAAGAGGCCCAGGCAGCACTGGCCAAACTAAAACAAGTCCTGTCTGTTTCTCTGAGCTGCAGATTTCAGATCACACTATTTAAAACACACTAATGAATCTGTTCGGAATTAATGTTTGAGTTACTGTGGGGCTGGTGATGATTCTCAAAGGAGTGAGGGGTGACTATTAATGACCAAGGTTTTTTTTTTTCTTTTTCACACTAGGCAGGATTTATTTCTGGTAATTATAATGTCCCACCCCTTTCCCAAAGAAATGATTACTACAGCGTGGTATTCACCCTAGCAGAGCCAGGGCAGAAGCAAGGTTGCCAACCACTGGGAGTAACTTTGGGGACAGAGGTAGGAAAAAAAATAATGTGGTCGAATTGCAGAAAAAGGTCCTTACACCAACAGCCAGGAGGGTTGAACTTGGTGTTGCCAACCAGCTGAGTGACCTTGGGAAGTCAGCTGTGCTCTCTAAGTCTCAGCTTGCATACTCTACAATGAGGGAATACGATTGGATGGTACTCCGTGCTGTTAGATATTCATGAGTCTCTTTCAGAAGAGTCAAAGTCAAGCTGGGCAACTTGGTGCATGCCTGTAATCCCAGCACTCCAGGAGGCTGAGGCAGGAGGATCGCCAAGTTTGAATTCAGCCTGGGCAACTGAGTGACTCAGTGAGACCCTATCTCAAAATTTAGAACATTTAAAAAGAGCTATGCAAAAGCCACGTGTTCAATTCCTAGTATTGGGGGAGAAAAAGACAAAATGAAACCTGAGGCTTAGCTTCCCTTCACCTCTGCGTCCTTCTACTTTCCACCAGCGTGGGTGGAGGGGGCTTCTTTTTGCTGAGTTACTCAGCAGCATTTGCTATAAAAAAGTGTAGTGACCTGCCCTAAGGAACTGATGATTACATAGAAAAAATTAATGAAAGGAGACAGTGGATGGAGAAATGGGGGGATCTTCTATGGGCTGGTGAAGGTTGGGGTGGAGAGCCGGGGAGGACCCTGCAGGATGGCCCCTGCTGGTCCTTTGGTGGGCAGGGGATTGGAGGACACGGTAGGAGAAAGCACAGGAATGGCTCTGCTGTTTCCTTTGGTAGCTTTATGACTGTCGTAATTCTCCGCCCTGGCTGCACACGGACATCAGCCAGATAGCTTTAAAAAACAACAAAGTCCCGCACTCCTCTGCTTTAAGTAGTCTGGAGTGGAGCCTGGGCACTGGCCTTCTGGAAAATGCTCTGAGATCATTCCACAGTTCAGCCAGGACTGAGGACCGCTTACTGATAACCAAGCGCTCAGAAGCAGCCCCATGGCCTTTTCTCAGAGGTCAACTTATTTTCCCCACCTTTTCACATTCTTCTTCTGCATTCAGCCTCCACCTTAAAATCCCAAAGCCGTGAATGGGTGGGAGGTGGGGAAGGAAAGAACAAACCCCTGCATTCTGTTTTCTGGTAATTCCTTTGTTAATTATGAGGTTTAGTGACTGATCTTTTTCCCTGTGAATGTATTTCGTACTACTACTTAAGAAAAATGTGAGAAATACTTAAATACCCTACTGTACATACGAAGAGTTGGCAAACCACAGCCCTGCGGTCTGATCTAGCTCATCATCTGTTTCTGTAAATAAAGTTTTATTGGAACCAGTTGCACTCACTTGCTCCTGTTATCTCTGGCTGCTTTCACACTGCAGTTGGCAGAGCTGAGTGTGCAACAGAGACCATCTGGCCTCTAAAGCCTAAAATATTTACTACGTGGCCCTTTACAAAAAGCCTTTGGTATATGCCATTCTGTGATCACTCCCCCTTCCACTTTACCTTTTAGTATAAGCATTTTCCTGTGTTATTGTAAATGCTTCATAAATGTCATTTCTAATGGCGATTTTGCATTTCACTGCACACAGTATAATTAGGTTGTGCCTTACTCCTTTTCCTAGTGCAATGGCAAGCAGAAACACTGAAATGACACCCAGGATCTGGAGGCAGATTTATTTAATGTCCTACAGGTACTGACTAGGAATTGATTGTTTTTCAAAATGTCAGGCCCCAAAGGCTCAGGAAGGGAGGTTTTTATAGAATTGCAAAGGGGGTGGGTACAGAGGTAGAGTACTTGGCTGTCTTTGATTGGCTTTTACGATATGTATTACAGTGACCAGCCATTTTTTAAGAGACAGAAGCAACAGGAACTTCAACAGGAACTATCACCTGGGCAACTGAAGTACACTGGCTGGGAGGCACTTTTTGCTATATTGGTACTAAATATTTATGTATTTTTGCCTCCAGATTTTTTTGCTCTTATAATCCCTCAGTGTGTATATTTGAATATAACCATTTGTATTTTCTTTTCCTTTTTTTTTTTTAATTGAAGCACTGGGGATGGGACCTAGGACTTACTCATGCTAGGCAAGTGTTCTACTGCTGAGCTACATTTCCAGTCTTTGCATTTTCAGTTCCTCCTTTACGATACTGTGCAGATTATTCAGCTAGTAGGTAGGGACACTTTAACCCTCTCGATACACATCACCAAGTCCTGTGTTCTAAGGAGCGGTACTGGTCTGTGTTCCTCAGTAACAGTCAGGAATCTGCTTTCCCACTTGCTCACCAGCAATGTCATTTAAACATTTTCTGTTTCAGGTACGTAAACACAAGGCTGTTATTTTAATTTGTATTTCTTCGATGTCTAACGAAATTGACCTTGTTATTAGACAGTTGCATTTCCTCTTCTGCATGCTGACGGCTCTGTCTCTGCTTGGCTCCTTCTGTGTAGGAGAGTGTGGAATGCTGGTCCTGCTTCTTACCTTGGCTTGCAGCAAGGCTCCAGTCTCTGCCCGGTTCTTTTCTACGTCTCTCTCCCAGTGAATTCTGATCATCTCAAGGATGTCATCCAGACCAGTGCTGACAAGAACATCCATTTCTTCCAGCTCAGATCCTCCCAGCTGTTTGTACAACACCTTCACATCCTGGAAACAATGCACACCTTAGATGAGTTTTGGCAGGGGAAGAAAATCCACAGAATTCTACCCTAGTGAAGGCCAGCTCTTTGGACAATAACTGAGCTTCTCCTTCTGCTACTGCCAAGCATGGGCGCAGAGTTCCTGATCCTCCTCCGGCATAGATGCCAGATTCTTTTCCTGAGGATTCATTTCTTAGGTTGGTTTTCACAAGCCCTGGCCCAAAGCAAAAATCAAAATAAATAAATAAAAACAAAAATAAAGTAAGCAACAACAGCAAAGCAAACTTAGCACTGAATCCAGCTAAGCTAGAGGAGATTCTAAGATAACTGTGGAATTTCTGGGGGTAGAGATAGGGAAGAGAGGGAAGTGGGCTCACAGCTGCTGGTTGCTGAAGGTCAGATACAAAGAGGAACTTCTTGAAGTGCTGTTGAGTGGGCTTTGGTTCTTTCAGCTAGGAGCACATTAGATAACTGGCATGTGTGAGGTGGGTTAGAAATTGCAGTTTTGTGGGGGAACTACCACATGACTGTGGAGGAATCTTTTAGTCATGTCACCCGGGGATCTGACCTAATTGCATAAATGAGTGTGTGGAAACCGTAGCTTCAGTCTGCCTGCAGAGTTATTTTGTTCATGTACAGAGGGGAAGGGAAAGTGTGTAGGACAGGATGCTTTGCGGAGGGAGAGACTCCTTCCTACCCAACACAGGACCCACCACTCACTTCGGCTCAGTCCTGTTGCTGCCCCGAGTCCCAGCCCTGTCTCTGAAGCCATCTGAGCTGGAGACTTCTGGACCCACTAGCAGGGCTTGAAAATATTTTGCTGGCATTTTCTCCTGTGGGTCTCAGCAATGGGGAGAGGTTGAGAGGACCCCGTAGCCCATGTTGGCATGGAGAGGCAGACTGAGGAGCTCTCATTTATGGGGCCCCACCAGCAAGCCCAGTCCACCTACCTCCTCATAGTTCCTTGACAGAAAGCCAAGTTCTTCTTTCAGACTTTCTATTTGACCCTCCAGATCCGTTTTTGCCAAGTTAGCCTCATCAATGACTTTATACAGAGAGTTGATTTCCTCTTCCACTGCCTTTCGGAATGGCTGCTCATTTTCATATCTGCAGATAAAGGGACTTAATCAGCAGAGCTGGGTAACACAAGAGGAAAGAAATCAGATTATGAATGTTACTAAAAGGCCAATTATGTGGTACGCAAGGAATGTTAAGTCACCGATCCAGTCGCTTTGAGGGCACTAGTATTGCAATTGTCACAGGTTGATTTATTAATAGGAAAGTGGTTGTGATCAGCTTCTGATAACCTGGCTGCATGGGGCACTGGGACACAGAGCTCCACGGAAGTCTTCTCCAGTTCAGACTGGATCAGGGGATCCAGCATCTTCATCGCCATCCTGAATTGTCCTGCTTTTTACCTGAGGCCCCTTTAACAACTATTGCTAGGGACCTGCTAAGTGCCAACTTGGGATCCCAAAACACAGAATGTGTTGGACTTCTAGACTGCAAACCCAAATGCCTTCGAGGTCACTGGGGGAATGTAGATGAGAGGCTAGGGGGGTCTGGGCTTCACGGATACAGGAATGGAAGCACAGGACAGCTCCTACTTCACCCTCAGGAGGTGCTGCTGCTTAGCTCCTCCCCGTCACTGCTCTGTGGGAAGGGGCTTTGCCTGGGGGCCAGTTCTCTCCAAGAGAAAAGGAAGCATGGACTTCTATGGATTTATATTTGAAATATCTGGAGTTTTAAAGATTTACAACTTTTGAAGAGATTAACAATGGTGGAGTAAAGACCAGCAGCAAAAGACAGCCTCTCTGGGGCCTGGAATTGAGGCACCTGGAAAACAACAACCTGGTGAATAAAAAAAGAAGTAGATCTCCAGAAACTGGGAGGGAACTGATAGGAAAACTAGAAACTACAGAGAAGCTGGAGAAATAGCACAGCGCAGAAAAAAGAACAAAGAAGTTTGGAATGCAAACTCTGGCTCCCAGTGAGGGAGGGAGATTGTTCTGCTACTCAGGGTAAGGCTGGAGAGGGTCAGCAACCCGAGGGCATAAAAACAGACCAGATGGCAGTGCTGCCCCTAATGGTTACTGTAAACTGCAAAAGGCCATGGAGCTTTACTCTAAAGTAACTCCCACATGGCAGGCTAGAGTTGGAGAAGAAATCCAGAGTAATGCCTGCCCTTTTTTTTTTTTTTTGTACTAGATACTGAACTCAGGACCTTGCGCTTGCCAGGCAGGCACTGTACCGCTGAGCTGTATCCCTGGTCCTGCCTGTCCTATTTGAGAGAGTTTAATCGGGAGCCATTTGGGGAAGGGGTTGTTTAAAATGAGCTACAAAACAACTAAAGAATGGCTACACTTTAGGGTTTCTGGGGCCACCCTAGTGACTGGGTGGAAGGTGGAACAAGAGAGAGTTGTGGAGAAGGCATGGGCTAGACATAGACCCCTGGGAAGTTTAACCTTAGGCAAGGAAGGACATGGGGTCCAGCTTTCTGTGGTAGGAAATGAGGCTGGTCATGAGTGGCTTTTTGGGGGCGGGCTGGGTTTGAAAGTACTGGCACTAAGTCCAGTGGCCCGTTTGACACCCTCTCTCCAGCCCTGTTGCCTGCACTCAGCACAGCTCAGTGGTGCATTTGTTTCCCCATCTGCCAACGTGATCAGGAAGATACCTCAGCTTGGACAGCTGACACAGCCAGGGGTGTACAGACAGAGGGGCCTCTGGAGTGGGGTGGGAGTGGGGGGTGTATCTCAAAAACCCACGGGTCATAAAGCTAGGTGGAGAAAGCTGGGATTTGGGGCCCACAGAGGGCCACAGAAATGGAGCAGCTAGAGTAAATACAGCCCTAAGTCAGACTCCATTGACCAACTGTCCCCAGCAAGAAAGGCAGGGAAAGATTCAGCATCCACATACAAAAATATGAGTGTGGAAACAAAATAGGTCTTAGTAGTGACTCACTATCCCTGCCTCATATCGGGTGGATTCCAATACTGCTGACCCTGGAAAGAAACCACTCATTCAAAAACATGGAGGGATTTTTTTCAGACTCATTCCTCTTTTCTCTTCATTGTTTTTTTGGGGAGATTTTTTTTTCCTTTTTTATTTCATTCTCTGTTTCTTTTCTCTTGATTGTTCTTTTCTGTTGCTTCTATCTAATTCTATTAATTTTCTTTTATTCCTTAATAAGATGTTTTATCTCATTTTTCTCTTCTTTTTTATTTTTCAAATTTTACTTCTTTCATTTTCACCTTTCCCACCCCTCCATTCTTAGTGGTATTTACTACTAAGTTCTATTAATCTTTAGAATAATTATTTGACTCTATGCTATTATTGTACAATTCTTTTCTATTGTTAATGGTGATATAGTTGTGGACTTAATAGATATTCACTGTATGTCAGTATTTGATTATTACTGAAGATCTCTTTTCTATAGTAAAGGTGGTACAGTGGTAGCTTTTATTGATTCTTGTAGTATGCCAATATTTAGTTTGTCTTTGACTCTATTATTTTTGTTGATTTCCCTACTATTGTCAGGATGGCATAGCTGTTGCTATGAACTGATTTTTACTGATTTGTCTTTGTGTCATCAACAATACTGGCAATCTCTGATTTGTCTTTGTGTCATCAACAGTACTGCAGTTCATTCTCAGAGAATTGAGTTCTGGGCCAATTACACTGTATTCTCCCCTCCTCAAGTTAATGGAAGTGGTCAGATTTTGGGACAGAGGCAAAGGCCTATAGTAAGTCACTGGAAAGCAGACACTAGTTAAAGAGAACTTGATGCTAGCAAAAAAGTCTTCCCACTATAATCAACCCTCAACTTTCAGCACACATGCGCACACACACACACACACACACACACACAAAATGGAAACATGGGAATGCAAGACAACAAAATCCTCCAAAAGCCAGGCATGATGGTGCACCCCTGTACTCCCAGCACTTGGGAGGCTGAGACAGGAGGACTGCAGTGAGTTTGAGGCCAGACTGGGCTAAATAGTGAGTTAAAGCCAGTCTGAACTACATAGCAAGATCTTGTCTCAACAAGAAAACAAAACAAAACAGAACAAAATCCTTCAAGGGGCTGGGGATTTAGCTCAGCGGCACAGCGCCTGCCTGGCAAGCACAAGGTTGTGAGTTTGATTTCCGGTACTGGAAAAGAAACAAAAACAAAAAAAAGAACAAAATCCTTCAAAAAACTCAAAGTTCAAAACTTCAAAACTTCAAAAAACTCAAAGCCTACTCATGGGGCACTGACAGGGAGGAAATCAAAAGCCAAACAGTTAAATCAAATGAAGTGATAAAAGAAGAAGAAGGAGGAGGAGGAGGAGGAGGAGGAGGAGAAGAAGAAACCTCAGCTCAATAAGGTGCTGGGAAAGCTCAAAGATGAGCTCAACAGTGAGATCTCCAAGAAACTTATACCCAAATAGATAATGGACTTACCCTCTTTCTCCAAAAATAAGACCTATCTGGAAAATACTGAGCCTTGAAAACTAGAGATCAAAAAATGCCAGCCCCAATCAGCCTATCTTTGGCTTACCTACCAGCTCTATTCTCTTGCTTGAAGGCTACTATTAATTTTCTTTTATTCCTTAATAAGATGTTTTATCTCATTTTTCTGTAGAAAAAGGAGAGCTGATCAGGGCAGGCATTTTGATCTCTAGTTTCCAAGGCTGATTATGTTTTTTACCTACCTGTTTATTTTTTGGGAAACATGGTACTAAACCTAGAGAAGACACTAATAATAAAATCACACAAAACATGAATGACCAGTTTAGAGAAGAATTAGAATTCATGAAAAGGTATCAAACTGAAGTCTAGGAGATAATTCTATTGAAAGTATGGGCAGCAGAAGTGACCAGTGTGAGGACAGAGTGTCAGAACTAGAAGATAGGAGTGATGCAAGGGACCACATACTCAGAGATATCCTAAAAGTAACAAGAGAACCTGAAAAATGGGTGCAATGGCTTGATACAGAGAATACTAACCTAAGACTAACTAGAACTAGTGAAAAGTCAGAAGACAGCAAAAGTGCCATAAGAACCTGTATACAGAAATAATAGCAGAAAACTTTCCAAGTATGGGGACAGAATTTAACACACAGATAAGCAAGGCATATAGAACTATAAACAGGCATGACCAGAAAAGAACTTCTCATTGGGCATGGTAGCACATGCCTATAATCCCAGCACTTGGGAAGCTGAGCCAAGAGGATCACTTTGAGTTTGACGCCAGCCTGGGTTGCCTAAGTGAGTTTAAGGCCAGCCTACACTACATAGCAAGACCCTATCTGAGAGACAGGGAGCGAGTGAGAGAGAGAGAGAGAACATTTCCATTCTCCATGACATACTATAGTCAAAATCCCAGAAATCCAACACCAGGACAGAATGTTAAAAGCTATCACAGAAAACCAACAAATCACTATAAAAGTAAACTTATTAGAATTACAGCAGACTCCTCACCAGAAACACTCAAGGCCAGGGGAGCTTGCTGTGAAGTGTTTCAAGCCCTAAAAGAAAACAACTGCTAACCCAAACTGATATATCTTGCAAAACTAACTTTCAAAATTGCTGGAGAAATAAGGACCATCTTAAGAAATTAAGATGCTCCGTGACAAGGAGCATCTTAAGAAGTTAACAACACTATACCAGCACTCCAAAAAATTCTCAAGGATGTTCTAGAAAGAGATAATGAAGACAACATGCCAAAAGGTCTCATGGAATGAATACACTAGGTAAGGTGATCAGTTAAGCAGGAGGAGGATAAAGGAACCAGCAACAGGAAAATAATGCAATGACAGCAATAAACTAGTATCTTTCAGTAATAACTCTCAATGTGAATGATCTCAACTCCTGAGTCAAAAGATACAAATTGGTAGATTGCATGAAAAAACAAAACCCAATGCCATGCTGTATACAAGAAACACATTTAATCGCAAAAGAAATTCGTGGACTAAAAATCAAAGGATCAAAAACAACACCCATGAAATGGGAGCCTGAAAACTAGCAGGAGTAGCTATCTTATTTTCAGACAAAGTGAACTTCAATCCAAAACCTATCAGAAGAAGCAAAGATGGTCACAACATACTGATTAAGAAAACAACTCAATAGAAAGCAAGAGCAATATATGTATTTCACAACACAAACACTAGTGGACATAAAAGATCAAATAAACACCAGCACAAGCAGCGGTGATCTTACTACCCCATTTTCACAAGTAGATCAGCTAAACAAGAAATTAACAAAGAAATACCACAGCTGAACCACCCCTCAAACAAATGGACTTACTAAATATCTACAGAGTGCTCTATCCTACTACAGTAGAACACGAATTCTTCCCAGCAGCACAAGGAACTTTCTTCAAGATAGCCTACATACTAGTCCATAAAGACTGCTTAAACAAATACAAAAGAATCAAAATCATCCTATACATACTTTCAGATCACAGCACACTTAAACTAGATATCACTTGCAAAAGAAACAAGAGACAATTTACCTGATTATCAAATAACACATGCCTGAACACTCAACAGATCATGGAACAAATCAAGAAAGAAATAATTCCTAAATTCAAACAATAATGTCAGTACAACATACCAAAACCCATGGGCTGCAATAAAAGCAGTCTTAAGAGGGAAGTTTATATCTGGAAGTTGCTTCCATGCCAGTCTGCAGAATCTCCAGTTTGCAGTAGGGCCTTCTTTCTAGGAACTGCTTGCCATCTTGGCCAATTTCTACTGGTGCTGATCCTTTCCTTCCATGGCTGTATCATGCAGCCAAACTCCACACCTGACCATCATCCATCCATAAAAGGGAAAAACCTCAAATCTCTCATTCCAGGAAGCATCTTCAAATTTTACAATTAATAAGAGACTTTAGAATTCAATATTTAGCTTCCACCCTATGACAATTCCTTGATGGCATTCCTGATAGGTGATCATGTGTAGCCTTTATTTGAATATCTCCAGTGCTGACAACCTCATCCTTTTCAAAGCCACCATCCCTTTTTGGGAATGCTCTAATTATTTAAATTTCTTCCTTCAAGAGTTTAAGTCTCTGTTTCTGTAAAAGTCTGAGTTCCAGCCTCTGCTCTCAGGCACCTGGTGGTTAAAAGCAGTCGCATAGGGCTGGGGATGTGGCTCAGCGGTAGAGCACATGTGAGGCACTGGGCTCAGTCTCTAGCACCGGAAAAACAAGTTCCATGAAGGCATCAAGGTCAGAGCCCTGTCGCAGGCCAGCAGCGAAGGCCTCAGAGCAGAACCACAGGTCTGCATCACTCTCAGGGGACAGTTCCTGAAACATTTTTTGGTTCTCTTTATGTAGGATTAAATCTTCTTTTTGTGTTTCTTTCTTCAGTACTGGGGATCTGGCCTCTGCCTGGGTTGTGAGCCTCGTGGGTCATTCTGTGTATAGCAGCTGGAACACACTCTACCCCTCCCGAAGAAGCCGCTTCTTCCTATCTTCCCACCCTGCACACAAGCCTCTGCTGTTGCCAGCTCAGTGCCTGCCAGAGCTTCAAGGCCCCGTGTTGGCCCTCCTGGCCATGCTGTCTCACTTCACCTGTGCTCATCCCAGCCAAGACACCCAAATGTTTATTGAACCTGCTCTTTTAGGCATTCAACAACCATCTATTAAACTTTATCTTGCACTGGACACTGTTATAGGTGCTGGTGATATTAATGAGGAACCAAAGGGCAAGACCAAGCCCCTGGATTCAATGAGTTACATTCTACCTTGTTGAATGAAGTATGAATAAATGAAGAAACACACGAATGAATGAATGAATGAATGAATGAATGAATGAGTGAAAGACATTTCGGCCAGGTCCTACCTTAATTTCATACTTCACCAAGTTCTACTTTAAATTTGGAGAACACGGTTGTGTGTTTTTTGTTGTTGTTTGTTTCTGTTGTTGCTTTGCTTCTGGGCGTTGAACAAAGGGCCTTTGCACTGAGCTATATCCCAGCACTTTTTATTTTGAGACAAGATCTCACTGAGACACTAAATTGCCCAGGGTGAGCTTGAACTTTTGATCTTCCTGCCTAAACCTCCCAGAGTGCTTGCATTACAGCCATGTGACACCACACTTGGCTTGGGGCATATGCCCATTAATATCTATCCTTTTAAAGCAGCATATATAATTTTATTGATAAAAAACCAGCATACTGCTGGACTCGTGCTGACGTGTAAAGAGCTTAGAAGTTGTCATCCATTTCCTCTCTTCTCTTGTGGGTGCTGAGGATGGGACCCAGGGCCTTGCATATGCTGAGTGCTCTCTGTACTGCTAGGCTCCTGCCTGGCACCACCAACATCTGTCTATCCCTGTGCAGGCAGCAGGCAGGGGCTGCAATGATGGCTTTGCTCCACGGTGCTTCTGTGAATGTGGCCATCACATCATGGGCAAGATGCAGGTGAGGGTCTCCTGGATTCCTGGATGGTTTGTAGTGGAGTTCTGTTCTCTGGATGGAGAACCTAAGTTGTCTCCACCCTTAGACATGATGGTCTTCCATGGACACTCCCAACCATATGCCTCTCCTGTTTTGTCTTTACCAGTTTAAAGAGGTCTTCCTGAGTACTAATCCCATTGCTCTCCATGTGCCTGACTCTCAGGATACCCTCACCCGCAGAAGAGTCTCAGAGTTACTGTGTTTACCCAACCAGACAGTCTTCATTTTGCTTCTCCATTAGATCAAGTGTTTCCCAGCTTCACTTGTCTTTGTGATCCTGCCTAAATGAACATCCCCTGCACCACTGCTCACTTTATATTTGTTAGAGCTGTAAATGATGCTCATGGCTCTGGACCTGCAGAACCAGAGAGCTAGGATGGGGATCAGCAGTGTGCATTTTCTATATATGGAAAGTTTCAATATATAGAAGTTCCCCATGTGACTGTAGTGCATGCTATAGTTCAACAACCTGCTCTGAACTAAGTGATACCAGGCAACACCTCTGAGCCCTTGAGAACTGGTTTTTGTGGTTTTGGATCCTCTGGGGGCCTCTGCTACCCCACCTTTTCCTTTCATGAAGGAAGAGGTGAGGGATGCAGCCTGTGGGACATCGCTCTGGCAGGAGTCCGGGGGAGTGAGAGGCTGTCCCTGCTGCCAGAGAGCGTTACCTTTCTTTAAAGTCATCTGCTCCCGCCTGGATGGTCTCTGTCTGCAGCATGAGCTGAGCATTTTCCAAGACAGCCTCGCCCACCTGGAATGACACAAAGAGGAGGCAGGTCACTCACTCACCAGGGTGACTTGCGCCAGACACCCACACCATGGAGCTGAAGGCACCTTTCACACAGCAGGTATTTTTAGAATTAGTCTCTCTCTTGGAAAAGGAGGAGGAGGAGATTAAAAGGTATAAGATCTGAATATCTTTTAAGAGCTTTTAGAGTCAAAATTTTGGAAAAAAATTTGTTATTCAAAGGCAGACTTGTTCATAGCCTCTGTCACAGCTATGAGCTCTTAACAATCTAGGAAAGATTTCTGGCTCCTTAAATGCAGTTTCACTGGCTTTGCTTAGCAGATTGGAACATGTTTCGGTCGTGCATGCCTTTGAAGCCAACCGAGTCCAGACCAACGGTGCCTGGCAGAATTTCTGGGGATAACAGAAATGTCTTCTGCTATGCTGCTACCTGACACAAAGAACACACGGCTGCTGAGCCTGTGAGCTGGGTGAAGAGGGCTGAGGAACTGAAAACTTGATTTCATTTAATTATCATTACTTTAAATTTAAGTGTCCAGCAGTTACCGTATTGGACAGTGTAGTTCTAGAATTTCATCTACTTTCCAATGTATATGTGAATGTAAACATTTTACATATAATCTAGTGATTTCATGGACCCTTGAAGAGTCAGTTTCAAGCTTGGGTCCCCAAGCCCCTTGGGATCCCTCACAAGCGTGGATTGGTTTTTCAACACACACACATGAAAGTTTTAAAAAATGTTAAAATTATTTATTTTTATTTTTGGTGATATTGGGTATCAAACTCAGGGGTCTCACACTAGCCAAGTGCTGTACCTCTGAGCGATATCCCCAGCCCTTTTTAAGAATTTTATTTTGAGATAGGGTTGCTTTGGCTAAATTGGCCAGGCTTGCCTCAAAGCAAGTGATTCCCCTGCCACAGTCTCCTGGGTAGCTGGGATTATAGTATCTACCACCATGCCCAGCAAAATTTTATTTTTAATGGACAGACAAGAATTACATATACTTAGGGGGTATAATTCAATGTTTTAAATACTTGTTTTACATTATGGAATGAGTAAATCAAGTTAATTTAGCATAGTCAAAATTACTAATCATCAAGGAACTGTGGATGAAAACCACAATGAAATCATCTCACGTCGTTAGGATGTGTCTTATAAAAAAAAAAAATGAAAGACAAGTGCTGGTGAGGATGTGGATGAAAGGCAGCCCTTGCATACTGTTGGTGCACATGTAAATTAGTCACAGCCACAATGGGAAATGATATGAATGCCCCTCAGAAAACTAAAAATACAACTATGTATGATCCAGCAACCCCACTTCTGGGCATATAACTATAGCTACATGTTCTTTATCAACTAGAAGGAGGTCTATGTGCACCAGAGATGAAAGACAGGCACAGGGGAGGAAATACATGGGAGAGGGAGAGACCCTACCTTACCTGCTACCCTGTGTGCTACAGGGCCAGGTTGGAGCAAAGGTTACTTTTGCTCATGGGAAATCCAATGAAAGGAAACAAAATTAAGATGGTCACACTGGATCAAGGGGAGAGGTAATTGCTGCTTTTCCCATAAGTGGCTCCACCCCTGCGCTCCCTGGCCTTCTCCCATCAGAGTCCTTATCCCACTGTTTTGAGATGGCCTGACCCCCAGCCCCTGCCAAGGAGCAGCAGATCTTCCATTGCTGTGTCCCCAAGGCCTGGCTGGTCCTAGACATTCCTTAAATACTTGTTGGATGAATGCACGAATAAATGAAACACATGACTGTGGGTGACCAGTTCCCAGCCTTCCTTTGCCTCAGATCAGGAGGCTGTTTCCCAGAAACCATCAGGAAGGGGCTTTAAAAATGGATCCATGATCTTACTTATATTCAGACATAATGAGGCCAACAGATCAGGGGTAACTGCCATTGAAAGATATCGTAAGTCCCTGGCTTAGGAATAAGTTTCCTTCTGGGAGTTGGATATGTTCGCAAATCTAACAAAGTGAATCTTATAGGAACTTTGTGAAAGTTGGCAATTTGTGGGGACTTAGCTGTAATTTATCACTCACAGTTTCTTACAAGGCGGGTGCACCACACCACACCACACCATCCAGGGGGCAGCACCAGGCTGGTTGGGAGGCAGAAGGAGGAAGCACAATGTGTGCAGAGCAGCCTTCGCGTGTGTGTTTCATGGGAGGGAATGGTGAAGCAGTGTAAGCGCCTAAGCACTAGGGCGGGCTACTTTGAATAAGCACAGAAGCCTGTGGGCTGTAGGAGTGATCGCTGGTTCTCTGCTGCCTGGTTCTGCCGTGACAGGGCAAAGGAACATTGCTCAGAAGAGACGTGGGGTGGGGGGACAGGCCCCAGGATTGGATATTTTGCATATTAAAGGTGCACACAGGCAGGTGGTTTGCCTTTTTCAGGAATTAGCTAATTTTCCTGGTTGGTGAGGTCTCAAATAGTAGAGCATCAAGAACACAGAAAATCATTAAATATAATTAGTATACAGTAGCTGAATATAATTACTGCGAAGAGCTCTGGTCACACATGGCCCTCCTTCCTGTTTTACAGAGCTGCTCCAACCACAGCCAGAAGCCCCCTCTGCGCCAGTCTTTTGCAATGCCCCTTTGTAGATGACTGTTGAGGCTGAGGTAATCACCCTGCTCAACTTCCCACAGTGACACTCCTGGCAAATACCCTACCTAAGCACCTGCTCTTGGGTCACAGTCTGTCCAGATTGTAGGCACAAAACCATACTGTGGAGAAAATTGCTGTAAAGGACATAGATTAGGAGACATAGAAGGCAGACGCAGACAGGTGTGGGGCCTTAGCTTACACAATTCTGGAGACTTTTTTAAGAAAAATAAATAATGACCAAAATCAAATTAGCCACAGGGCCTTGGATAGAGTATGTGCGGGTGAGGGACCCTGAAGCTTTAAGTTATCCACTTTGGTATAGATTAGTTTTATTTACTTGTTTCTACTTTTTAACTTGGGACCCAAACAATAGACAGAAAAAAGAAAAACACCCAGCCCAACCCGGGGGTGTGTGTAGGATGCAGCTCCGGAGACAGAGAATGGTGGCTGGACGCACGACCGTGCGGCTCTGCTGTGCAGAGTCAATACGGCCGCCCCGCCATTTGGATCTACTTGCTCTGGGGCTGTGGGCCCAGGAAGCTCGGCATTGCTCTGCCCAGCTGCAGGGGCATGGAGTGTGTGACTCTGTAGCACTTTCTCAGTTGACTGCAAAAGCTTTATAAGTAAGAGCATGGCTTGAGCAATGTGCGAGGGGGCTGGGTAGGAAATGCAGAGTGCTCGAAGGTGAGATGAGGCAAGGGGCCCCGCTTCTCAGTGTCCTTGCTCCTCGGTGACCTGCGTGCTCCTCTGGGAGGAGGACAGGGGCGCCTTCTGGGGTAATCTGGATGCTGTCCAGCAGATAGGGTGGCTCTGTCCAAATATCTGTCCTCAAAGGCTTGTGCAGTCCCAGGGCTAGGGGAGCTGGAGGCTGTCCTGCTTTTGCTGTTGTTTAGTAACAAGCAGGGTTTTATTCCACCCTCAAGCAGGGGCTAATTATAGGCCCTGACTTGCCAAAGTACTGCTTGCTGGCCCTGCTTTCCCACCGCCTTCCCAGACAGGGATCTGAAAATAAACCAACGGCCCCCACTGTTCAGCCCAGGAGAGCTGCACTGTTCCATGGCTGTCCCCAGCCTGGAAGGGGCAACCTCTGCTCTGGGGTCTATGGTCCTTCAGCCTCTCCGGACGGAGAAAAGACCAGGCAGGCAGCCTCCGGAGGGTTTGGATCTTCGCTGAGGTTTAGCATGGGTTGAGGACTGAGGTGGTGGCCTAGGGCAATGGGGCCGAAAGTAAAGCACCGCCTCTGCAGAGGACAAAGAACATCTTGTCTCTGCCTAGGAAATCGTTTGTGGACTCTTATCCAGGGCAGGAAAAGGAAAAGAGGGAAGGGAAGTCGCCTTCACTGACCACCTACTGATGGACGACCAGCTTAGGCTGGCTTGCTGTGGCTTGAAAGAGTGGATTGTGAGCTAGTCGTTAAGCGCAGCCATCATGGAAAATTACATGGTGTGAACTTACAATTAAATATGTTATTTTAAAAACAAAGTTAATAAATACTCAAAATACAAAGGTAATAAATACTCATCACTCAGAATTCTCTAGTACGTTCCAGTGAGTGTTGTCTCTGCTTTTGACGTTATTTGCACCTGTATGGTGGAAAAGCTACATAATAAGGTGCTCTGCACACCTCTCTGCCGCTCGCGTTCAGTGACACGTTGGTAGGCTGATGTCAGCCATGGTGAGTACTCACGCCAGGGGAACTGGCAAATACTCTGAACCAGAGACTTACCTTGGAGAGCCACTCATGAGCAGACAGCGCTCGTAGCCCCCCTCCCTGCCCCCCGAGGGCTGTTGTGAACTTTTCCATTTTACCTTCAAGAATACTAAGGCTTAGAGAACTTAAACTGTCCACATCTCACAGCAGAAGAGGCAGAACCAGAACGACTACCCGGGTAAATGTGGCTCAGACGTGTGCACATTTTTGTCCTTGGCTTTGAGAGAGAAGAGGCGTAACAGAATCGAAAGAGAGACGTATGGGGATTGTTCTCTGTTTCTCTGTAGGGCAGAACAATCAGGTTTCCTACTTTCCATTTGGGCTGCATTGTGAGGATAAAGAGATACACTCTTTACTGGGTGCGAGGATGGCGACCAGACCGGACCAGATCAGACCAAACCACATCATACCATGCTGGCTCCCGCTTCAAATCCCTCTGTGTTCATTTCACATCCCTGTAAGCTGAGAAAAGCTGGGGGCAGATCTGTGGGTCCGACATCAAGGGCCCAGAGGACTTGTGCTGCTGGGCACTTCATTTTCAAGCCCCAGAGAAGAAAGAACATTTGTATTTAGATGGTAGAGATGCACGTGAACTATTTGGTCCTCTTTGATTTACGACTGACGCAGATGCAAATTAATGTTGCCTCCTGGGTCAGTGAGAATCTTCTTCTAGG